GATAATGTATAAAGAATTTCAAGTAGCAAATTAAGTTTACTTTAAATTAAGTGTTTTATGTCTGTTTTAACGAGACTTAACCGAGGAAAGTTTTTTAGTTTTTGAATTAATTGGATTACTATCAGATTGGAGTTTGAGGTTGAACCTATTCACATTTAAATATACCAGGGTCTTAGCATCTTAGGTGTAAGATTATTAAACATTCACGATTATTAGAAAACGAAGATCAGTTTAGCTGGTTACCTTCTCTTTTTATTACGCTACCGGTTCCTTCGAATGCTGAGTATTTTATTTGATTAATCTGTCACCCCAAGTCATTACAAAGGGGGTCAGATTAGAATACTGGTAGGTACATGTGCAACAACAAAATTATTAAATTATTCAATATTGTTATGTAAACTACATGATGTGGACGTTTTATTTGGTTTTAGCACCTACGGTAATGATGTGTCACCCTGTATGTGTTTAATTTCAGATTTATTTGATATTGATTTTGTTTAAATAATTTTATTTACTTTATTGTAAAGTTGAATTACATGGAAAAACATAAGGTTCTTCTGTAAATAATTGCATTTTGATATTTTAAAGTTTATTTCCGGTCATTGCGATAAGAGTTACGTAACGCCAATTAAATTTGAAGATACGCAGGTTTCGACGATAAGAACACACAGGTGTTTATTTTCATTTCACGACGCACGAAGAGAAGAGTTTAACTAGAAGGGACAGGTGTAAAACGAGCCTTTTTGTTCTGTTGGAGGCTTTTGGTCTTTGGCAGTCTGCCGTAATTGAGCCTTTTGTTGCAAGCCAGTCGGTCTTGCTAATTGTAAAGTCTTGGCGATAGAGAAGTTATTGTAGAAGAAAGACAGGGAGTGTTTAATGGGATTTTATTCTGCCGTTTAAAGTGAATGTTTACGTATCAATCATGTCACCGTTCCGTTTTGGTCTCATTTAGTAAACAACGGTGACGGTTATTCATACATATTAGCCATGGTTGTCATCTGATTGTAAAGTTGTAGTGGTTTTCTCTGAAAATTTGCGGAATGGCTAATTTTACATACGACTAATTACTAATTAGCTATGATTGCTGTAGCTCTTCATGAAGAAGAAGTGTCGAGTCGAACCTGAAAGAAAAAGTGGGCATAAGGCGTGGTTGAAAAGGGAATTTGAGGGAGAATTTTCACTAGCGCCCCTACAATACAAATTCGGCTAACCTTAAATTTATCAAAATATTCCTGAAACTTGCTGAAACTAGGCTGTATTCAGTACAGTGGCGTAGCATGCCCAAATGGCGGCTAGGGCAAGCATTAAAATTGCGCTCCTTCGTAAATTGCCTTAATATAAAACAAGATACGAAGAATCGCATACGATTTTCAGTAGGCAATTTTTTTCAGCACGGCTCTAACCTAATACGGAAACACTACTTTTAATCCGGCTTTTGTTCAAGACCACTGGTTCTTGAACTCGTAAAAATCGATTGGCGAAGGTTTGACATCGCTGTCTCTTTTCGTTCTTCAGTTAGACGAGGAACAGACGGACTAAACCATCACATTTCTTTCAAAAAATTCCCCTAAAAAGCTACTTTAGTCTAGGCGATAGAGACTGTAAAATTGGCAAACTGGACATTTTGAGGTGGAAAAGAAAAAAATGGTGGAATATGTTCAGTTAGGTGTCAGAAACAACATATTAAAAATCCCACCCCCCAGACCCTGTGCTAAAGGCTCCAGCCACCCCACCATCCCCCAAAAACCGTGTTTTCGCTATTTTTGGCTGATATCTCGCGATCTATGAGGTCTATATGAAATATTTTTAGCTGAAAATATTTCTCGGGAAATTTCATACAAGGTAGATACTCAGAAGTTAGCCTAGGTGTACCTCTTAGCCTAGGAAATTCATAAAAGGAGGCGAAAATCATCAATTTTCGTGTTTTTTTGCGGTTTTTTGCAAATATATCGCGACCTTCAGGGCTAGATGAAATATGTTTAGCTGAAAATGCTCTTCGTGCAATTTCATACGAGATAGTTAACTGAAGAGTTGGCGTAAGGCACCTTTCACCTTCAACTTTCATGTGTGAGGAAATATTCATTGTAAAACAAAGTATTTCTATATACCACTTATTCATGTAAAAACAGTACCTATTTTCACTTATAATTGCACAAGAGGTTTGTATTTTACCGAGTAAATTTGGGTTGTTTAGGTAATGAAAATCTGTTGCCTAGCAATTAGACGAGAAAAACTGTCAACTAATAAAAATGCGACCCCGCAGGTGGAGCATTTTTAGGTTGACAGTTTTTCGAGTTCAATTGCTAAAAGGAAACAGATTTGAATTGCAACAACCCAAATTTACTCGGTTTAAATACAAACCTCGAGTGTAATTCGGCAGGACAATTTAACGAACAAGAAATTCACCAAACTAATCAATTATTGACAGACGTCAAACTATTCATATGGGTAAGGATAATGCGATTATTGGTTCGAAAATGAATAAGTGAAAAAACCACTAGTGCATTTGTCGCTGGAAAAGTTGCAGGTAACTTTTGCCGCTGTCAAAGTGACAATTCCACTGCGGCTTATGCGATTTTTTAGACATGAGTTGAATTGTCATATTAAAATATTCACACATTCATTTATACCTCAACGTAATTATTACCCTTATACTTATCCAAATCAATTCGTACTTTTTCGATCAGACTTCTTAATCAAAAGTTATAGACTAGAAACCAATTTGAAAAAAAATTCAAAGGGTTGTAACTTTTGAACTAGTAGCCCAATCTTGGAACTGTTTGAAATTATGGATTCTACAGGCCACATTCTATAAGGAAATTTTTTTTCCGGGTCGATCTGAGACAAATTTTTTTTCGGGGCTCAAAAAAAGGCAGTGTATAACCTTTCTTTTTTACCAAAAATCGACTACACCAAAATTTCTCGGGAAAACACTTTTTCTTATTAATTTGGGTGCGTAGAATCCAAATCAATTCTGCCTTTTTTTGAGCCCCGAAAAAAAATTGTCTCAGATCGACCCGGAAAAAAAAATTTCTTATAGAATGTGGCCTGTAGAATCCATAATTTCAAACAGTTCCAAGATTGGGCTACTAGTTCAAAAGTTACAGCCCTTTGAATTTTTTTTTCAAATTGGTTTCTAGTCTATAACTTTTGATTGAGAAGTCTGATCGAAAAAGTACGAATTGATTTGGATAAGTATAAGGGTAATGATTACGTTGAGGTATAAATGAATGTGTGAATATTTTAATATGAAAATACTGTTTTTACGTTAATAAATGGTACATAGAAATACTTTGTTTTACAATGAATATTTCCTCACACATGAAAGTTGAAGGTTAAAGGTGACTTTACGCCAACTCTTCAGTTACCTATCTCGTATGAAATTGCACGAAGAGCATTTTCAGCTAAACATATATCATCTAGCCCTGAAGGTCGCGATATATTTGCAAAAAACCGCAAAAAAACACGAAAATTGATGATTTTTGCCTCCTTTTATGAATTTCCTAGGCTAAGAGGTACACCTAGGCTAACTTCTGAGTATCTACCTTGCATAAAATTTCCCGAGAAATATTGCTAAAAATATTTCATATAGACCTCATAGATCGCGAGATATCAGCCAAAAAGAGCGAAAACACGGTTTTTGGGGGATGGTGGGGTGGCTGGAGTCTTTAGCACAGGGTCTGGGGGGTGGGATTTTTAATATGTTGTTTCTGACACCTAACTGAACATATTCCACCATTTTTTTCTTTTCCACCTCAAAATGTCCAGTTAGATGTCTTTATCGCCTAGACTATTTTGGCGGTTACAGCACGTTGTGCCGATGCACTCTTCTAGGAGTAACGGGTGAGGAGACATGAAGGATCTTACGAAACCAAATCCGACGCCCTTGCAATTTTTTAGCTTCTCGAAGCAAAAAAGTAAAGCATCATTTTTTTCTGCATATATGGAGCAAAATGGCGCGAAAAATATTGCAAATAAACGCATCAGGTGCAAATTAGTTGCACGAGTTTCACCTCTGTGGATCAACATCACGCGAAAAATTCTGAAGGTTAATCTAATTCCGACAAATTAAATAATTTGGCCATTACGAAAATTAGATTGCATCATTTACGATATTGAGTTTAATAAAAGAGAAAGTTGGGCCGCTATAGGTGTAGCCATCTCATCAATTTTATAATACTACGAAGTTTTCCCAATTTCCACCGATACGATAATAGCATGAATTTTCTTTCGATTTAGAGAACATTACAGAAAGCGTTATAAATCATTCAGTGTAACATGTGCGAGTTCATATTTCGAGCGGATCGTGATCGAGTTTTCAAACTGACCTCATCGATTTTAAACCAATATACGACTAATCTGATGAGTTAGATTCGCTTAAAACAATGAATTCAGACACCATCGGCCAAGAAAACATCCGAATCTAATCTGAAACGCCCTAAATGGAACTTATATGTCTTACGTTCATTATTTTTTGACGATTTTTTGGTAAGTATGACCAAGTGGGGGCGGTTTCAGATTTTATATAAAGCACTCGACATTTTTTGATAGCCGAGTTAGGGTCGAGTGTAGGAATGGCATTTTGTGTGCGTGCCACTTCATTCGTTGGGGAAATATTTTGATTATCTCATTACAACAATTTATTTAATCTCCACGCAACCGCAACTAGATATCTATAAAGAATTTTAAAATTAAAAGCTGTTAATTGCGGTCACTTAAGGAAATTAGCGCAGGCATTGGATATCTCGTAGTTCAGAAGGTTTGTTCATTCTTTTCCAGCATTATTATGGGAAACTCAACTCATAAGTAAACATGACAAACGAAAAATGAATGAGAATTTCAGTTTTTTCAAAATTAAAACGTTAGTCGGCGTCGGGGTCGTTGCCATGGGAAGTTATTCATAGATTTTCTGGTCTATTATCTAATCGAATTCAATAGTGACCATACCAATTAATCAAATGTTAACAATGGACCTAATTAACTTCTTTTTTTCCTTTCAGCAAACGATGGTAATAGTCCGGTGGTCGAAGCGGCGATCGATAAGCGAACTGAATCTCAGAAAACCATCGGACTGAATTGGACAATATGGCAACGACAGCGAGACGACGCGACCCAGATGATGACATTGCGGCAATAGCAAAACAGATATCCGACCAAGCGGAAGCGATCTATCAAAACTGGAAATCAAGAGGTCTGGCACCTGCCGAATTAATAAACTGCCATGCCGCCGGAGACACATCGAGACTGGAGTAAGTCATTCGCCTCAATTTTAAATTTAGACCACAAAATTAGAACGTATATAACATCGATTCTTATTTTCTCTTCCTTTACGTATAGTTCTATGTTAAAACCGCAGACGCTAGCAAAACCGTCGATTGAACTTTTGGCGCAGGCACCGACGATGGACAACAGCAAACTGCAGAAGCTCGTCAAGAACTTCGTCGTCGAGGATAAGGCGAGACTTGCAGCTAGGAACAAGAACATGGCGTCCAGTATACAATACGCTCTACAGAAATTTGAGAAAAACACGCAGCCGGAAGACGATTTTGTTAAGAAAGTACCGGCGCGGGCGAATTTCTCTAACGCCGTTTCGGTATCCACGCCCACTCCTGTCGTCCAAGTAAGATTTTTGATTACGATTAAGATTTTTATCGCATTTGTCTTCGTTAGTGAGGGGCCTCGACGCCAATTACCGTCTAACACGCACGATTCTAATATACACTTAACGCGTTAATAGTTTCCAACCAAGTTCTGGTCGCGTACCAACTACGAGCGGAACCGGAGGTGTGGGAAATCACTAAATTCGTGTTCACCTTTGAGAATGGCACCTAAAATTGCTTGGCACGTGCATTGATTACTTGTTGCAGCTGTTAACTCGATAAGTCTCTGGAGAGTCGACAATAGAGACACTTAAAAGTAGCATTTCCGTGTCTATTACCGAAGGCTCCCTAACTTCCTCACAGGTCTATCCTCCCGGCGGCGACGGCGCGCGTTCTTTTTCCATAAACCTTCAAAGGCCCTCTTTGCTTTAAGTAAAAGTCAGTTTAAGATTTTTTATTACCTGGCGTAACGCCAACTTGGGGGTTGTGAGATAAATGGGTCATTTCCACAAATCCACGGTAAGCCCACCTTTTGTTCGAGTTTTTGCCTTAATTAACCATTCCGCTTAAGATCAAACGAATTCGGTTATTTACTTAATTAATAGCTACTTCTTTCGATCGTACGTTTCCGAGGAAGGTAGGTTGTTTTTGTGGCAATTCGAAACTACATACCAAAGTATTGATGCCATAAAGCAGAATTAATGAGGTGCTTGTAAAACTTTATAAGCCATCAGAGATTTTTTGATTGCAATAACAGCCGTAAACTGGAACGTTAACAAAATATACTCGAGATGAAAGCGAAACTTTAACTCGATTGGTAAACATGATAAGGATCTCTTATAAAATTGATGAGATTATTGTTAGGTACGAAAATGCTTCGGATGTCCTAATTTTTTTTCTATACTTCACACTCGTGAATAGTAGCAAAGAGTATGTAATGTAATGTAATGTCAGAATAGTTAGCACCTCCTCCAAACCAAGATCTAAACAAATTTTTCCATAATTCTGGTCAAGTTAGACTAATTTTGATCAGCAATAAAAGGTATAGAAAGAGAACGAAATTTTCCAGCTCAAAATTAAAAATTTGCTGTGGCTAGCACAGATACCACCCGCATTCCTGCGCATGCTGGTGCAGGATTCTGCCGTTTTATGTCTAAGAATATGTGTACCAAATTTGGTTTCAATCGGTACAGCCGTTTAGCCGGAAATGAGAGTGCAGATGGACCGACAGACCGAAATCATCGAGATTTTGTTTGATATACGGATTCTTGGTGCTCCAAAACGTGTATTTCCGTCAAAAAAGTGGGGTCATTTTTTTATGCCAATGCAATACCTCCCTTACTAACGTGTGGGTGGTAAAAATGGTTGCTTCATAATTTTTTTATAATTAAAGAACATTTTGAAATGCAAAAATATGCCAACTGAAAGTGGAGTGGCCATGTTTTGAATTTCAAAGTTTTTGGTCAAAATGATTTTTAATTAAACATTTTTAAATTTTTGTTTGTTGACGAGGGTGTTAGCTTTTGTGATATTGTGAACTGGTGAAAATGTTTGGAGTGAGTATTATTATTAGTGGGAGTAATTGAAATAGATGTGTCGTCGTGTCGATAACTGCTTTAGTATTACTGTACCTGTAAAATTTTTGCCTCGTTTTTTTGCGCTTATTTAGGATCTCGGTTAGTGTTTGAACATTATGAACAATAAAATTTGATAAAGTTCATGCTAGCAAGGCTAGCGTGACAAGAAATAACTCCTTTGTTGGAATTGCGGAGAAATTGGGCATTGGGCAGAATCGATGTCGGAAGTCTCGTAGGAGATTTGTGTTTTTTGAAAAACTTCGTTTTGTTTAATTATTTAATACAAACAGGTACAAAAATATAAAATACATAATCAGTCAAATACACCGGTATCCCCGTTCATTTCTGGTGGCGCCCCCTTGTGACTCCATCCAAGTATTCCAGTAGCGTCTCATGCGATTGCCCTCCTCCTAGACGAGCTGACATTCGGTGAAGGTGGCCTCGATCAACTTCCAAGAATTCCAAAGAATTTATTACACGACTTTTGATTAACACTTGAAATAAATCTTGGGGCGCCAATAGAAAAATCTGACATGAATAATTTATCCGGGTCGCACGAAGGTTTGGAATAAACATACAATTAATTGATCGACAATGGCAAGAAATTGTCGTTTCCGTGCATATTGGGATTAAGGTCTTGGTGTATAAATAAATTGTTACTACGAACACGTTTGGGTTTCAAGGTGTAAAACATTTCGTTGTGACAGATTTCTAGGGGCAAGTTACGTAAAAAACCAATTTATCAATCAAAGTTGTGCATCCATTTTGTTTATATGAAGTGCAACAAGTTTACGAACGAAACGGCTACCGGCAAAAAGGTTAAAGACAATTAATTCAAGCTTTTGTTTTACTGTTAAAACCCTAAGTTACAAGGGGACATTTTTGACATTTATGCATTGCGGAACATCGGTAATTTATTGCTGTGAATAACTCAAAGTAAGTCTGAAGCATGGTTTATTCCTAAATCAAATTGCGTAAACCATCTTTTGAAATTAATTAGCAAGCCAATTCAACTGTGATGTATTGTCTAAGATGTTCCATTATACAATTTTCCAAATTGTTGCTCCATTCGAAGGGAGAAATCCAACGACAATTGAAGAAAATTGCAACGCATCGATAAAAGTAATTTTTTAAAATTTTGGTATTGTATAAATCGATCGTTTTTAGGGCATTTTGTATGAGGAATTTGCATTTGAATTCATTTTTAAATTTCTGAAGAGGTGGGAACATATTTGTGCATTTTTTTATAAATGATAAGTATACTCAGGTCAAGGTACGTAATTTGAGAATTTCAAGTCAACGTATATGAGTATATATTTGAGGGTGATCAAACTAAAGCATCAGATTTTTAAATTTCAGATTATAAGGGAGGATAAAGACCCAACGTTCTGCAAGGTATGAGTAATTTAAGGTTTATTAATTATTGAGCTAGCCGTGGTGTTAATTATTTCATTGCAAAAGATTAATTGTTACAGTGAAATTATGTTTTACAATTTAATACACAAATCTAAATAAACAATTTACAAAAGCGATAAAATTGAAAATATGATTCTAAAAGGAAAAACAACATTGAGATACAAATTCGAATGAAACGAACTAACAGCGCTTAATAAATAACTTAATAAATTGAAACATTTTCATATACAGGGTGTTCCGTCATTCTTTTTGGTGTTTATGCTGAAATAACAACTACATGACGTTGTTTACAGAACAATATGTTTCTAAAAAGACGGGTAATTTGATTATTTCGAAAAACAAATGTTGTAATCGTGTTTTTATTTATTGCAAAGATTTATTTGATTCATTTATGGTTTTTCTAATTTACTCGGTTTGGCTTTTGAAATTTCGTTGGATATTCTTTCTTAGATGCAAAATTTGGCCTGTTGACGTTGTCGTACTAGTTGAAGTTCTTCGATTTTCATAGAACTTTCCCCAGTAAACACCTTTGTATCCGTTTCTTCCTTTCTACTTTCTAACCCCATCGAATTATTGTTTGTACCTTTGAGTTTAAATCTCTGTCTCAAATAATTTTTTATTTCCGCTCTACAAGATTCCTTATTTTTCCACATTGTAATTAATGACTGCAATATCCTGTATAACCATTGCATCAGATGACGGAATGCAATTACATCAACTAATCAGGTTTGGTTTTCCGTTTTTGGTTTTAATCTTAGATAGTTTTGGAACAGGCGCGCCGTTACAAGAATGATGCCAAGTCGTTGGGCACACGCCAAAATTGTAAGTTCATTTACTAAATGATATAGCGATTGTGTTCTCACATTGTCGTCCATCTGTTATCATTCAGCACATAGGTATCTAATTGATTTTCAGTTATACCTTATGGTAGGCTATATTATGTTGTTTATTTATCTTCATGTTTTCTTTCCTTTTTGTTTCTACAGGTGGGTTGCATGGTAATTTTTTTAAATGTTGATTTAGCTACCAGTTTCCTCTTATTGGCATTCCAATACACCCCAAGAGAGTTGCCCCTTGGAGTAGAGGTTTTTTTTTCTTGTAAACCGCATTTTGTGTACTTTTATGTGATTTAATAGGTACCAAATGGTGTAGTAGGTCTCGCAATTTATTGAGATCTGTAGAATACTTTTATATTTCGACTATCTTGGGCAAAATTCGTATTGCAAACTATTAGAAATTCAAGTATTATTGCACCTATGTTTGTTAATCGAATTACCTACTAGTAAAGGAATTTTAATTGTTGCCATTGTATAGTTCCTCACAATAGCAAAAGAACAGCGCTATAAAATTATGCAGTTTTGGCCTTCACACATCTTTGTTTGTTTCAATCACCGCTGGATATTTTATGTGAAATAACTTCTTTACTTTTTGTTGTTTTAGATGGTATTTTTAATCCGGTTATACAATTTGTGTAGAGAAGAATGTTGTTAATTATTTCTCAAGGATTCTGGGCGTTATTTATGTTTTTAAATCGCTAATCGCAGGAAATGTCTGATAGATGCATCTAATCACAACAGTAACGTGTATGACAATTTGGTAACTTCCAGATAGACCACATGCCCAATTTTTTACGCTCATCATCTGTCAATTGCCCACATTAACACCCACTTAAACGTGCTTGTGTTGATTACCACTTCATTTACACTTGCCATTAATTTTTTTGCGTTCACATAAAAAGTTTTATTTCTGCACTTTCAGGTATCACCCACGAGGCCAACAATAGGCCAAAAACCACAAATTTCTCCAAAGCCCCGTTTCGCAGACACTATTGAAATCACCTTACCCGCAGATCTTCCCACATCAGGCCACCAAACATGGCCTTTGAAAAATAAAGTTATAACCACAGATGCTGTTAAAAAGACAACGGCTACTGAAGTAAAACCGTCGACTCACTACAACACACTTCCTTCAAAAACACAAGCGTACATCGATGAAGTCGCTCTGGAGGAGAAACGTTTAATTAACGCCTTAAAGAACGGAGTAATCATCACCGAAGAACCACCTCCAAATGTAATTCCAACCAAGTCGAAAGAAACAGAGCGTGAGGGTACAAGATGGGGGTTGCGCAACGTTAAACGACCCGAGCAACAAGTTCCCCATCCAGAATTAACAACCACCCAAAGACAACACCTCAGACTGAATGCGTCAAATCCCGTTCGGCCATTTTTAACCAAAGGATCCGTGGCCGAGCGAGTACTAATCTTCGAACGCTGTCCCAGTGATTTACTATTAGACAAGCGAGTGCGAGCGCCTATTATACAGCCAATCAAACCTCAGGTGAGCATTGAAACTGGCCCACCGTCTTATTTACTTTCGACAGCAGGTTCCTTCGAAAGAGCAACAGTTGCAGCACACCACGTTACAAAGACACGTCAGGGCACATCGTAACGTTCACATACCACGCTTCCACTTTCCACAAGGGAAACCTAGTCCGCCCGATCAACTGGATACGGTCATCGCGAATGTCACCGCTGCATTTGCGACAATTGGCGACAGAGCGTCTAGGGAGCACTTTGTTCAAATTACCAAAGCGTGTCAGCTACCTCTCTATTGGAAGACCCCACTGTACCTCGCCGCCTGCGCGGATAAAGGCAGTTGCACCTTGGAGCAATTCCTTACCTTTTGGAAAACGTAAGTGTTCGAGCTGTAGATCACCATCTAAGTGATTGTTTCAGAATGTCCACATCGTGCAACGATTTGGCTTCTCGTTTCATTTACATACTCACGCGCGGTCGGCGTTCGTGGTTGGGACCGGAAGACTTCATTCCTCTCGTCCAGGACGTCGTCGAGACCCATCCCGGTTTAACATTTCTTAAGGAAGCCACCGAATTTCATTCGCGCTACGTTCATACAGTTATCGCCCGCATTTTTTATTGCGTTAATCGATCTTGGTCGGGCCGTATTACAACGCCCGAGCTTAGGAGGTCGAATTTATTGAATGTAATACAGCTGCTGGAGGAGGAGGAGGACATCAATCAGATTACTTCGTACTTCAGCTATGAGCATTTTTATGTTATCTACTGCAAATTTTGGGAGTTGGACCGAGATCACGACTTGTATATTGATAAGCAGGACTTAGCGAGACATAGTGATCATGGTAAGTGTACAGAGACACACAAACTTTGAATTTGTTCACAAAATTTTGGATTTTTATTTTTGGGTCGAAATGAAAGCTCCCAATTGGATTGTACGCTTTGACTTTGGAGTTAGGATTCATGGTGACAGTTTACATTTCGGCTGTTTGAGTTTCATGCTCCAAACCTGAAATTTGACCACAAAATTCTGAGTCTTATGATCATTTGTTGGTTGAAACTATTCTACAAGTCTCACTAGTAACCAGGGCCGAATCTACATATATTGCGTCTGTGGGTTCCTCGAAATCGCCCCCCCCCCACACCTCCCAATTGAAAGCACTTACCCCAACCAAAATTTATTTCTAGAAATATGCAATATTTTTTACTCTCTACAAAAAGTGTTAATACGTTTTTCTTCCTTCTAATTTGCTCACGGCCAGTTGCACAAAAAAAATAATCCGGTATTAAGACATTTGATTGGCTTTATATTGCAATAGGCAGCCAATGTCAAAATTCTTGTTTAAACTCGGATTTGGCAAATAATGTAGGATTTTGATTATAATTCGCTTTCCTGCAACCGGCAGTCGGAGATTTAATTAGTACAAACATGTCTTATATTAATTATGAGATTTATAGAGTGTTATTGAAACAAAGTATAATATCTGTAGTTCAAGTTACAAACAAATACTGTATATTTTTTTATTTAATCATTTATTTTATTTATTTATTGTCCCCCTCTTGTTCTTGGCCCTCTACAGGCATTTGCCCAATTACAGAGTGACCCGCGTAATGTTTTTTTTGGAGGTGCCCCTGCAAAATGTCTTAAGTTGTTCTATACTACTCCGCTATTTACCTTACGGAATTAGGAAAACTGCAGGAAAACTTAATTCGGAGTAGCCGACAGGATGCTTCGAAACTGATCTAAGGAAATTCCCATCTTTGCCATGGCTGAAAAATTCTTACCTCAGCCCAGGTTCGAATTACCCAACCTCCCGCCTATGTAGGCCCAACGCTCTACCACTGAGCTACACAGTCGGTTTAATTTTTAGAGTAATACATACTCGTTTTTTATTAATATTTCCGCATCATTACATCAACGGGGCGCACAGTGGGGTATTTGAATTAATTAGCTGGCCAAAATGTCAATTTGCCAAAGTTAAAAAATTCACGCAAAATTAGTTCCGATGCAAAGCCAAGGTGTCCACGAACTATATATAGTTTTGTCGCTAAGGGTGCGACCGGTTTTTTGCCAGTGCCATTCCAAAGTTGGCCTTTGAATGAACATTTTTTCAAAATTCCAAGAGCACGCGTCAAGAGAATTTCAATTTTTTATTACTAATTTTATTACAAGTTTTCTGATGTTGTGTGCTATGGGCAATAATGTGCCAGGTAAGTCGTCATTATTTCTGAAGTTACATCGATCAAAATTCCGATATTTTTTTCTTATGTCATCAATCAAAGTTGCCTATTGTTTCTTAAAAAAGGGAATTGTTGGCACTAAAGTGGAGACATTAAGTATATGTTCCGATCTCGATCCGGTTGATTGAAATATGTTTTAAGCAAGCTAACACTATGCTCTTTTAGTATTTAAAAAAAAACTTTGCGCGTTTTTGAGAAATCGGCACCCAAACTTTCATGTGATAATGGTGTGGATTATTCACATTGTCATACTTTTAAATGCATGTGGTATACTTCAGCCCTGGTTTGCACATCAGAATGAACATTTTACTCGGTAAAAATGTTATATTTTCGCATAACAATATCTAAAGGTGAAAATAGTTTCTAACTTTAGGACCTTCTATCAACAAAAAAGCAACAAAAGCCTTAACATGTGTATTTTTGATCTTAAAGTAGAGGAACACAGTAGCAGCTGCAGCAGTTCCTCATATGAATCACAATATTCATCTGAATAATTATTATCATGGTAGTCTAAGACAGTGCATGTATTTTAGCAAAGTAGTCCAGTGGTTCCCAACCTTTTAGACACCACGACTTTTTAGGTTGAGTATTTTGCCGATTTGTAATTTTTTAAATCGCAAAGTTTAACTTATTAATAAACTTTATTACAGACCACATTAGATAAGACAAGTAATAAATTCAGTGAATTTTACAGTCAATTGTTTTATAAAAAGAATAATTGTTTTTAATTTTTCCCCTCGGACACATTCTGCGATCCCGTTGCGACCCACTGGTTGAGAACCACTGATCGTAACCTACAACATTTTCCCCATGAATTTCCTATTATCCCATATCTTATTTTTTTGTCATACTTCTCATTCATACCTTAGCACGGGCTGAATTTGGTACATATACAAGCAAGATATACAATTTTGCTATTTCCGGCCACCATCTTGGAGTTAAAATTTTTTTTTGTTATTTTCATTGTATGAAAAAGATATTCTGCGACTTTTATTGAAATCAGTCAATATTTTGAATTTTGGCCAGCTAATTAATTCAAATACCCCACAGTGGGGCGGTGATGCGGCTATATCTAATTTTATTTTTAAGAATATATTTACGTGATTACGTAATATTTACAATGAGCCCCCCAGGTAGGATCATGAAATTGATAAAAATGGCTAGAGAGCACCTTAATTAAGTGTTTTCAACAAAAAAAGTGTGCGGTAGAAGTCCTAAATTTTCCACAATCTTAATGCAAAGTTTACATAATTTCATCGAGATGTGAGGTTATGTTAACTCCATATTTCATGATTACTTTTAAGTTTGTGTGTTTAAGAGTTTGGGTAACATTCCAAATTTAATTTTTTAAGAAGTTATGGTATTTTTCGGAACGACAACTATGGGAGCACTCCATGGCGACTCGCATTTTTCAATTATGTTGGAGTCCAATAGTCGGTTCAGTTCGGTCTTTAGCTTCTCTGTTTCCTTGCTGCAGTGCCTGTGTCAATTCAGTTTCCAGCATATGGAGTCGGGTTTCCCTCAGATGTTCTCCAATTAATTTTGACAATGATCCTTTCTGCTCATGGTAAGCATGGTACCTTCATCGTCTCTTAGAAATTTCAATGACAGTGGTAACAGCTTCAAAGTCGAGCAGGTATGTTTTTTCTGGTTGATCAGCAAAATACCAAACTTGCCGGCGACACTGGCGTTGGCCAAAAATGAATTTCCAGCAGTGTTTTGTTGGCTTACAGTAACTATGACCTTGGAGGAGTACGTTGACATTAATAATCGAAACCTTCCCATCGTTTCCCTTCTGTACCGTTGAGGAGCTAGACATAGCTTCTGTATCCAATTTGTAGATAGGAGTTCGTGAATTGGCAATGTAGGTAAAAAAATACGGACGGCCGTTTTGACATCTCAGTTAGTGATGAACCGAATTGCATCAAATTCAATATGGGCATGGCTTTGGCCATATAATACGCAATGCAATTTGACATTCATAGTGCACTTTTCACATCTTGACCATTTATGAACCCTGTTTTTAAGGTATTTAAATGAAATTTGATACTGGGCACTTGGAGTAAAAACAAATCCAGTTTCAAAATTGGTTTTTGCACATGCTATAGCCATACCCAGGAGCTCATTTGCTATATTTGTTTACACGTTTATATATTTACCATAATTCATATATAATTTAAGCTCCTTCGGCACAGTGTATGAACCAAAAGCAATTTCCCTCTAATATAAAATATATATGTAATAAAACCAAGAAACACAGGAATAACAAGGAGGGAATGAATTCTTCCAGCTTTATCAACTCGAATCATAGACCGATTATTCAGCGGGTGCGTAACACGCGGACGTCGAGCGAATCACGAAGAGAAAATGTCCTATACCGAATTTGTGTGGTTTCTATTAAGCGAAGAGGACAAAACGCATCAGACCGCAATCGAGTATTGGTTTAGGTGTATGGATGTCGATGGCGACGGCTATCTGTCGATGTACGAGCTGGAATACTTTTATGAAGAGCAAATGCATCGAATGGAATCAATCGGAATTGAAACTTTGCCTTTTCAAGTAAGCGGCACTTACGCGCACGTCTAACGCTAACGCTTGTTCTGTGTAGGATTGCTTGTGTCAAATGTTAGATATGGTGAAACCCAAAGTTCCTGGTCAGATTTCGCTTAGCGATTTAAAGAAATGTAGAATGACGCCTATATTCTTTGATACGTTCTTTAACCTTGAAAAATACCTGGATCACGAGCAAAGAGATCCATTCGCCTCGCAACGTGATCACGATATCGATGGACAAGAGGTTCTGCCTTACTGTAAGATAGTAATAATTACAAAATTTGTCTGCAGATGTCCGATTGGGATAGGTATGCTGCGGAAGAGTACGAATTGCTGGTGGCCGAAGAGGGTAATGACCAACAGGACAGTCTGTAAGTGTGTATTCAGAAAATTTAGAATTACAAGTGAGATCTTAATCTTGACTTTAAATTTAGGGATTACAGTTGCGGGTTTGACAGGGTAAGAGTTTCGGTATGTGCTGTTTGGCTTTGTTTTCCTAACACAAGCATTTTTCTAACAAAATGTGGGCTCCTCGTAATTGTGAGAGTTCAGTAGGGAATGTTTTGCTATAATCTAAAAATGAAAATAATGATGAGACTTACGAAGCTATTGTATTATGGTAAAATCTAAACATTATTTTATTCGAAACCCTGAGATAAATCTCTGAATCATAGGAATTTTTTAACCATTTTCTAAGAATTCTGTAATTCTTACATGTTGTGAGTTGACTCCGGATTAACGTGAGAAAGGAATTTATTGAAATTTTGGCAAAAAGACTCACAATTCTGCGAAAAGTCCCAGAATTACGGAAATAGTTCCATAATTCTGAGAGAAAAAAAGACAACAGAATTGGGAAGGATGATTCCAGAAATCTGACAAACAACCTCAGAATGTCTGTATTAAGAAATTTCTTGCCATTCTCTTATAATACGGAAATCTGATCAAAAATCTGATCTGAAAGAAAAAGTTATTCCGTACTGCTGTGTGCATTGATCCAGGCCAAAAAGAACCATGCACAAGACGCACACCTAGCTAGCTCCTCAAATATAACTTTGCCCGGTACAGACCCTCACCCCTATACAGAAAAATGATTTAATTCTGACCTTAAAATTTTGATTCATGGCAAGATCAAAATCCATAAACTCCAAATGGTCATGTAACTCCATTTTGACTAACACTTAAAATGAATTTTTTTAGCAAAAATCAACAAAATTAACTGTAATTGAACATGAAACTTCTCTGTTTGTCAATAAGAAGAAAAGAGTTCGAATGAACACAACTTGCGTGATATTACCACAGATCTACACATACACAGATTGCTAACCTTATACATTTTTTGGGAAACAAATTTAGGTATACTTAAAAGCGCCCTCTATTGCGGAGCAGTATAATCATGTACCGTTTAAAACTGTAATATGACGCTTATGGATTTACGCATTAGATGTCGCTGCAAAAAATTTAAAGCGGTAAAGTGTGCATATAATCCAGTTTAATTGTATTTTTACCAGGAAAGTTGTGGGGTAGTTTTGATTTCTTTGATTCTATATGTTTTTTGGGGTGCTGAATCCGAATCTGAGGTTTGCTAACAAAATTTCATGACGCAACATTGAAAAAAATACAAAAAAAGTTGAATAAGATATTTTTTTAGCAGTTTTGTGCTTACAACTCGAAAACTATCAACTTTTCGAAAATAACCTCCCTATCTTATATCTTATCGGCGTGGTAAAGAGTGTAACGTTAATGATGGCAGAGATATACATAGTTTGTAAGTATGCCTTTGCGGTTAGCAATTTGTCAAGACCTTTAAAGCCGCAAATAGTGTCCGCCAACTTCAAAAAACCTTCACGATTCTTTAAGAACCTGCCCTATGTTCGTGTGTATCTGTGACCACAGGGACCCGCTTTTAATATCTCCCTTACGACGAATGAGTAGCTTCAGTGTTAAATTAAACAATTATGGCTCAACGTACCTCCTATCATATCATACCACTGTAATAGTACGAATATTAAGGAATTCGAATTGTGCAAACTTTAGCGCTTTAATTTTGTTTCAGCGACATCTAACGCATAAATCCATAAGCGTCATATTACAGTTTTAAACGATACATGTTTATACTGCTCCGCAATAGAGGGCGCTTTTAAGTATACCTAAATTTGTTTCCCAAAAAATGCATAAGGTTAGCAATCTGTGTATGTGTAGATCTGTGATATTACAAAGTCCAATTTTATTCTACCTAATTACTAATTAGGCCCACTACGTTGATGAGACAAAACAAAATTTTGATGACATTATAATTAGGCACCAAATTCATTCCAAATATCTTAAAACCAAATACAACGTCCCACCTGATATTGTTTACACAGCAGTACATTTTTAAGAAAAAGTGTAACTAATTATTTAGATGCAGATCAAGAAATGCTAAATATGTGAAATCAAATTTTCCATTTGTGGTGGAGCTCCACAACCAAAATACACAAGTATTCACATTTCTTCTTCCCAGTAATCCTTCGCATTTATTGAATTAACAAATTCAGCAGGAATGTTACCACATTTTCCATGAAACGTAAAATGAAATAAGCAAGAATGAGAAAGGGAACGTGCCTTAATAAAACACAGCAACTGTTGCTTATTTGTACTTGGAATGCAACTTACTAACTTGAAGCATTTGAAGCAAACTTTTAAAAAGAAGCATTTTGTTTAGCAAATATCATTTCAGCTCGTTCGATGAAGGGAATGACGAAGACCTTCTCTCGCAGAATCTCGATGTTGTGCTGGACGTATCCGACGCTCCATGTGGCCTTTCAGACGATAGTGATGAATGTAGTATTTAGCGAGAACCAGTTTGTCTTTTTTAATTTTGTAGTTTTGTGGTAGAGACGTTTTTCTAGTCCGTTAGTCGTAAAAGGTGATTACAATAAAATTTTGTTAGGCAAAGTATTTTACTTAGAAGAATGTGCTACTGTTGTAGTATTTATTGTTTTTATATATACATTGATATTATAATGAGAGCGTTAGTGGATAGTAAATTATCGTGGTAGACGTAATTTTTGTATAGCCCTTACAAAGTAGATTGTTAGAGAAATATCCTGGTTTCGTTTTTTGAAACTGTTACACTTGTAAGAAAAGTCGTTATTTTTCGTGTTGTATTTAATGTATAATATTTTGTAAAAAGGATCTGATTTTTGAAAAATTTTTAATGTAAGTATGGAGGTGTGCGAATGTGTGTCTCATTATTGTTTTGAAGGGCAAACTTTAAGACTTTACATTAGCAGCTGTTTGTTAAAATATGTATAGTTTAGCATATTAACTTCATTTCAATCAAAAAAGAGTTACTAGTCATTTTCTTCTAAAATATTTATGTCTTAATTTGTGTATGTTATATAGAAATTTGTTTACTTTATAGACCTAATAATATATACTTGGTTTTCATCTGTTTTCATATTTAGGTAGCAGGACAATTTATTAGTAGTACAGAAGGTACCAGGTTGACGGTTTGGAAAACTAACAATGAACTACAAGCATGTTTGGGCAAGTGACATCTACTCCCTAATCTAATCTATGGATAGTACTGTTAATCCTTTATATCTTAAGAATCCTATTATTTGTGTAGAGCTGTGTATTGGGTATTGATCCTGGGTGATTTTATGCCAACACCAATCGTCTGTGTAAGGAACCATAATGCCAGCCATATGTAGTGCATGTATCCGGAACTGTTGTGGGCACTAATACAAAAGAATTTGATTCGTTATAAACTTACAAAATATGCATATCTGCTCACAGATGATGATTTGAGACACTTGTTAGTTTAAAGTTCCGTTTTCTCTTTGTTAAGTACCTTCTTCCGACACCCATCCTTGAGATACTCACATTTAAAGTTTTAACTCTTTCAGCACGGACGTCTGGTCTCGATTCAACAATCTTCCCTTTGTAATTACCTTTTTCGGACACTCCATTCTTCAGGATTTAAAGTTTTGAATCTACCATTAACTGATGCATCTCGTTCAGATCAACCCCTTTCTCTATTCCGACAGTCCATTCTTGAAATATTACACTTTGTTCCTCGCTTTGTACCCTATATATATGTATATGAAGAATGAGGAATAGAGATTTTCATGTATTGTGTTACTTTTGTCTACTTTTAAAAGACAAAATTCTTCTGAAACTGTAAAATTTTTAAAGGAGCAAAAATTAATCACACAGTTTGCATTGACCTTTGGAATACACTAATGTAAAATGCAGAGTAGCAGTGACGAATGCGTGCGCATGAGTTGTTTGGGTTGCATAAAATTAGGATCCCTTCAGAAGAGATTTCGTCTTCTAAAAGTAAACAGGGAAAAACAGTACGCGTAAATCCCTATACCTACTTCTTAAATAAATATCATCTTTCATTAGACTTCCATGAAGACTGCAGTAAACATTCGACAACAGTGGATGGCCAAACATTTCCATAATGTACTTGCAACATATAATAAATATGAAATATAATATGGAAAGTTACGTTCATGTATTTACGTGGGCCAATTGGGGCATGGAATTACATGTACGCCGTGCATCAAAAGGAATATATTTATGTACTTTGGTGAAGTGAACCTGTTCCCTAACTGGTTGGGGGATGCAGAACTCAACTGAAGACTGGGATAATAGTTCAGTTTCATCATAGATTAATGTCGCCCCTCTTCTAAAGAGAGAGGAAGGAAAAATTACCAACTCTGGTTTTACTTCTGGAACGAAAGGTACTTAGTCATACTCACACTTATATAGGCACTTGTTGATTTTAAATTATATTATTACAAATCTTACATTAAAAGTTGAAACTAAACAAAATTCGCTATTAATAATACCTTTTGGTATAAAAATAACATAAATGCATATAATAGCTATTACCATAGACCAAGTATTTGGTCTATGCTATTACCAACAACCTTTCATCTTCTGTTTCTAAATTGCGCCCAAGATTGAATCACATCTAATTTTAGTAAATCAGATTTTATTTACATAAGAGCGCCTGAAGTCTGAACGATCATTTTGCATTGATGATGATTATGTTTTTAACATATTTCAGTGTGCTAAATTTGCACTCGCTGGTTACAACAAAATAACAATATTCTTACATCTTCACTTCAAGTTTTCCGTGCAAGATGAATACGTTTAGTTTACTGCACTAGGGCCTCTATCGGGAAAGAAATATTGTAATAAATGCTTGGAGGTGTTTAAATTTAACACACACTTTCGCTACATGCTGGTGGTTAGCATTAGCACATATACCACCTGCACACTTGCGCATGCGTGTTTTGCCGAAAAGTTTTTCAGCTCTTTCTTTTATGTATGTAAGTATATGTGTATCAAATTTGGTTCGAATCGATTCAGCAGGAAATAAGATCTTGAAGCTTTTCAGCTCCTCATTTTATGTCAAAGAATATATGTGTATCAAATTTGAGTAAATGAGAGTACAGACAGACTCGAGATTTTATTTGATTCAGATTCCTGGTGCTGCAAAACGTGTACTTCCGTCAAAAAAGTTGGGGATTATACCTCCCTTTCTAACGTATGGGTGGTAAAAATGGGTTGTGAATAGGACCTTTGTTAACTGCACTTACATTCTAGTTTCTTAACTGCTATTGCTGAAAATTGTTTGTATTAGTATTTAATTTTGATTCTTGGGGAACGGTTATCCAGCCCCATCTTTTTTTTTGTTTTTGGCTTTTGGGGACGTATGGTTATCCAGGCGCATCTTTCATTTCATTTTTTTTTTTCAAAAACTCGACTATTTCATTAGTATTTTTTTTTTAATATTAACAACTTTATTGTTTTTGGGGACGGCGATCCGTACCCCTTTCTTTATAGCTTTCACTAAGACTCCTTTCACATTATCAGGCTTCATTGGTCAGGTTCTGGATCTGATGAGCAGTAGTGCATTGTTGTGAATAGGACTCTTCACACTGTTGGGTTCCGATCAGGCGCCTGATTGCCGCAGGTCAAGTTTTCTAGGTGGTCAGGTTTTTGACGCCGGATCAGGATTAACCGGACAGGTTTTCAGTCGTGTTCAGGAGGATGTTACATTAATATGGTCGTTCTGGACATGTATTAACATTGAATGAACCGGCAAATCCACTTAGAAAACGTGACCGGATGAAAAACCAGACACAAACCAAGAGCACTTGATTCCTTCAGGACGCGAAGTAATAAATTTACTTGTTAGACAGAGACATGGAAGCACTTTCATACAAAATTACTATTTCTATTTCACCAATTTATAATTTATTACTTCGCGTCAATTTTAGACAGACTTTAATAACATTTTTGTTTGTTTGTTTTGTTTGTTTTTGGGGAGGTTGTTCCATTTCAACTTTTTTTGTCTTTGGGGAGGTTGCTCGCCATCTTTTTTTTTCGGGAGGTTGCTCTCTCATAATTTTTTTGTTTTTGGAGAGGTTGCTCCTTAGACTATGGAAAGAGGGGACCCATATAATACCCAATCAAATGCAATGCTGCGGTATGGTACGGTTGCTGCTGTAATCCTATGAAAAAGGCCTGTAGGCAGTCATGTGATTGGTGGCAAACAGCTCAAATCTTTACTTCACTTTACTATCATCTTTTATCCATTATCTATCTTTCTTTCTCTAAGGGTTGCTCCAACCTATATTTTTTATTTATTTTTTTTAGGGAACAGAACGTTTTTTAAACTTCTAATAAATCAACTAATTCATCAGTACTTTTGACATCGCAGTACCCAAATCATGCCAAACATTAAAAATGTGGTCATTGCTGTGGGCCAGGATAAGGATGTCTATCATGGGGATCTCCGAAATGCAACGATGGTCAAATTAGAGAAAACTTGCGCAATTAAAGAGTTATTATCATGCTATAAAGAAAACTGGAAAATTCCGATTACTTCCGAAGATATTCCTCGAAATTTGAAGAACTGCCGAACCTCCAAAAAACGGTTTGTTTTATAATTTTTGTTATAAAGAACATATGAATGGACATTGGTTTTCTGTGTTACTAAATGTTCCTTAAACCTCAGGTAACTGTGCAGATGAATAAAACAAAATTGCGCATGCGCACCCCACCTTTTGTATTTGCACAATCCCATTTTTATCTGTTAAGATATTTAGATGAAATTTTGTACGTAGGCACCTCAAATAAAATTAAATGATGTCGGTAAAAAATTTTGTTTTGCGCATGTGCAATCCGATTTTTTGACATCTCCGCTAGTTATGAACCGAATTGCATGAAATTTGGAATGTAGGCACCTCGAATAAAAGTAAAAGTATGCATCCTTTACAATATTGGACCTCGGGAACTTTAAGCGATTATACCATGTAACAAAATTTCTTCAGACTCCTCACCCCCATAACTTCGAAAAACATCCAAGTACCTATGTTCACAATTTAAACATGTAGGAAGTTCGGTCTTCGAAGCGCTTCAAATCAATCTTTCTGAATTAAAGTGGAAACAACTAGGGCTTCACCCATGTGAAAACTAACTCTTGGCAATTCATATAGGATTTTCTCTATTACAAGTTTGCTCAATGCTCATATCCTCATGATGGTAAACAATAATAAAGGAGAAATTATTAAATTTAATTCATAGGCGCTTTAGGTAACATGAAGCATAAATTGAAAACACTGTAATCGATACTTACGAATTTATTTTAATACATTTAAATAATCGGTGATTAGATACAAATTTATGCTAAATTATTTATCCCACAATCCCATCTCCTTCATTTTTGTTCGAAAGTACTGCTGTAAATTCACAGCACACTTATAATACTCCGTTTCGGGCGAATTATAAATTCGACAGTTTGTAAATATCCTCGTCATATCCGCTATAAACAGTCGGCGCGAGACATAATACCTCTGCTTTAACCTTTCCGCCATAGTTCGTAAATCTGCAATTTAAAAATGTAGCAATTGATCAACTTGAAATGAGAACTTACCCATAGGATACTTAATGTGTTCGTAATAGTCGGGAACTGTGATTTTATCGACAGGTTGCCGAAACGGCCAAGAGTCCTCGTGACTTTTTACCGATTGCAGAACGATCTTTAGCATACCGGCTAAAACGTCGACGTCTTGAGATTCTTCAAGTTGGTGGCCACCGCGAGTAGCTCGCGCTGGTGGTCTCCAACCGGTCTCTTGTATTCCAGGTATCGATTCAACGGGAATACTCCTCAAACCTTCCCTGAAGATGGTTAGTCCGGGGTGTATCTTCGAAACAGTGCGTTGTTGCTGGTAAATTAACTGCTTTATAATCTCCTTTTGTCGCCGAACCACTGATGTAAATTCTGTGTACACAATTTTGGGGTTAAGCTCACAGTGCATTAATGTCGCCCCCTCGTAATCCTTGATGTACCCTTGATAAATTGGTCGGGACAATTTAATATCCTTTGAGAAGCCTTGTTTTTCGAAGTAACCTAAAATGACGAGGTGTTGTAAGTGAATTTTTAAGAAATTCTACCTATCGCGAACTCGTCTGCAAATGTGAGGAAATGGAGTATATTTTTGCGTACGTGGTAATCCTTTAAATAGTTCATCATGTGAGTGCCATATCCTTTAACCTGTTCGCTTGAAGTAACCGCACAAAATACGATCTCGGTAAAACCTTGAGTTGTAAAGGTCCTGAAACAGATACCTCCAATAGGACTGTTATCCTTGATGAGAGCCATTGTACGGTGTTTCCTGGAAGGGGAAGTTAGTAGTATGTGCTTGTGGATGAGAGAATCTTACGGATCGAAGAGAAGTTGGCTGATGTACTCCTTGGGCATTCTGGGTAGTTGGTGTGAAAATACGTTTTGCAATCCGATCAACCACAACATGGTTTGTTTGGTAACGGGCGCAGTTAAACTGTTACCGACGACGTGAAATTCGATGATTTTGCGCTTTTCCTCCAGCTTTGGTGCTTCATCACGTGCAGGAGCATTCTCGGAGAAGACAACCTGAAAAAATAACACGCGTCATTCGAAAACATTAAAATTTGGCTAATTACTTACATCTGGACCAGTCATGTAGTTCGGATCATTTATCGTCGCAATAATTTCCGCAACAGTCTCACTGCTCAAATCCTCAAACTGCTCTTCGGGCGCGAGCTTCCGCTTTTTGGCCTCACGATAAATTCCATCACCTTTCCTTTCCACTTTTGCACCCGCGCTGAGCGTAATCGTGGTGTAACTGTCCTTATCATTGGGGAGTAGTTTTTCAAACTCGCCTCGTTTTGGTGTGCTGGTTTCTAAAATGTGTCATTGTAATTAGATGTAGATTTTGTTTGAAACTCTACTTGTGTCGAGAAGGGCCTGTAAATGCGGTGATGGGACTTTAAACTCGGGATCCCAAATGGGAGAGTTCACCGCATATATTTCCTCATCTAGTTGTTGTAGAAAAGGAGGGAAATGAGTTAACACCATCACCTGTAAGTGAACGTTTCAATTATTAAAAATTACGGACATCTAGGTTTCTACGGCGAACAAAAGATGGCAGGATTATTTAAAACAACAATTTCTTGGTTTTGTGTATTATTTATTTATATAATTATTATATTATATTACTTATTTATTTTTATAGCATATGTGAAATTGACATTTTAACAGGTTTGAATGAGCAGGCTAAGCCATTCTTTAACCGTAAGGGTAGATAGTGAAACAAATGACTGCGCATTCTAATGACATCTTATTTCAAATGCACAATATAAAATGACGTTCACGACATATGACAATTCTGTTTCTATGGAAACCATCGTGACGGCAGAACCTAAGCTTGCTATTTTTGTCATCTAAATTAAATTCAGAATTGTCAGAAGGTTTACAATGATTTGTATGGCTTCTGCTATATAAAATAAAGTTTTGTATTATACACGACGATAAAGGGAAACTAACCATCTCGTGAATTAACATCTTTCACTCAATGGTTATAATGACCCTTTATCGTCTTGTATTCTAATAATAATAATAAACTATTATTCACACGTTTTCACGTTCTTTGTTTTTTGTGTGTCAGTTGAAATAAAAAAATATTTGGAACTAATAAACATTTCCACATAACAAACCATTGTGCCATCTTCTGTTCGCCATGGAAACCTTGCGAGACACATTGGGCATTAAAAAAATCGACTAAATAGTACAAACGCCACCTAGCGGCCAAATGATTAGAAATAGCTGAATTTTGTGGCGCCTGTGATTTTCTCTTTAAAATTTAGCTCCGATTTTTTTCTTTTCGTGAAATAAGAGGTGTTCCCATAAGAAACTCTCAAATTTGAACTACCCTGTACAAATGCATAATTTTTTGTTGCATCCCAATTGCTAGTTCACATGAAATATACAAGGGTCAACTCACCCTGCGTTCTAACGGCATACGATCTCGCTCCTGATGAAATTGGTCCATAATTTGCCTGCAGACATACTTAAAAACCGCACGAAGCAATGGGCGGCCAAACACCTGCGTAGTATCATAGTGGGGCAGAGAATCACAAAAAGCGGGTATATGACAAAAGATCAACCACCTGAAATATCACATAATTGGGGGAGTCATGGTCATCTAACTTTAATATTTACCGTGTGTATGCAATAGTGTAAACTGTCGCCTCTTCGGGACTGACCACCTGCTTTTGACTGCTCGGCGAGGGAAAGTCCCATGTATTTAAACAATGCAAGAATATCTTCGTCAATTCGTATATTGTTTTTAATTCCTGCTGAGGCAGATGAGAAAATTTATACATCACCAAATTTGTGACCGCCTTATGAATAGACGGCTTCTCAAAGGGAGGTTGTCCCAACGGCCCCTCGACCACCGGATTGTCGAGTGTTAAGATGCATTTACGGAGCAACTGAAACACACAATCACTAACCAGCCCAACTCCATACCTTTTGACTACCTTAAAAAGATAACTATACACTTTTTTCGTGTCCGGATTTTCTTCCCTATTTAATGATGTGTATATGTTGTCTACATCGACAACCATGCCTAGTAGTCGATTAATGTCTGCCTCAGATTTATTTCGTAAGTGTGAAATGTGGGTCTCTACAAACCAATTTTATTATTTGCCCATTTACATTTTACGATACCTAAAGAATGCTCGCAACGACACGGATCATTAAATGAAGTTGTAGGTAGCGCATTTTCCGTTTTCTTCCAACCAATACAGTCGCATTTGTCACACTAAAAACGAACTAAGTGTGAAGCGTTTTCTGCACGTAAGACATTTACCTGGCATTTGGAGTATATGGCAAGTTTCAGCAATTTGCGATTATAAGGGAAACTCAGGACCGTCTGCTTACGTTGCTGGATCCGCTGTAAGTTTGTTTGCCTCGATGCCTGCTCCGGTTTGTTAGCGTTTGACTGCATTTGCGTGCTTTCGTTTGTGGAACTCATTGCGTCCGCCGTTTCTAAATTTTGGTGTAAAACTACATTTGACATGTTCTGCAAATGCAGTGATTTTATTTGTAAGATTTATTTATCAAGTTTGGTTGATGTTTATAAGTAAACGTCAGACAGACAAATTGAGGTTAGGTAATAACTAAACGTCAAAAGTTGAGCTATATTAATAAAGGATTTATATACTAAAAACCCGCATAATTGGCATATTTGAAAATGATAACAAAAGTTTAGTTTATAAGTAAAATTTATTAATAGTGTGGTTGATTTTTAGAAGAATTTTAGTTAATTTAAAATAATTTTAAATGTAATTTTTTCGCGGGAAATGAAAAACAACTGTTGTACCAGTGCGTCTCAAACAGCGTAGGTTACACTCGTCCATCGGTCTATGAAACAACTCTTGGGAACTTCGAAAAAGTTTGAGGACCATGGTGTAAGAGTTGGAAGTACCGGCATAGTGCACTAGATGGCACGCTGATACGTGCTTTCTTGAAGCCCCCCTCACCTAATGTGCTTCATACGGCAAATTAAATTCGTAATATGAACCCTTTTTGAATAATTTGAACCAGTTTTCCTCATTTTTTTCATAACAGTTTTTATCCATTTCTTTATAGTTTCACAATAATATGAAAGTTTGATAAATCCTGATATAACCTAAAATGAATCCGGCCATTTCTTTTGCAGGTAAATCGCCGACTATTAACACCACTTCTTTATCTTTTACATTCCAGTCAGAAGTTCCCTGGGAATTAGCATTAACCATGGACCACCAAAATTTAGTTGCAACGACCTATTCGAAGCGGTTCGTAGTAAATCTTGTCGTACGATGCTCTTCAGTCCTGCTGGCGACTATTTTGCCTACGTTAACGGTTTGAAGTACGTACGCGATGCGTGTAACTATTTGTTAACGCCGTAGTTTTCAGTTTACACCTGCTACAGACCGAAAAATGGAAGACGATCGCTGTTATCGAAAATACCAAGTCGTATCATTTGAGCTTTTCGCCGAAGGGCACTTACCTGTGCGCGTGGGAACCTTTTGCGACCAATAACGCCAATCCTCAAGGCAGTCCAAACTTAAATATCTACGAAAGCGAAAGTGGAAAACTTGTAAAAAACTTTGTTCACAAGAAGCAAACTAATTGGTAGATATTCATTTTTTTTAGTGTAGTCATCAATACTTACACAAAAAAATACCTATAGGATCTATCCCTTAAATTAATGTACTGTATCTATCTATGCATTTTAGGGAACCCCAGTGGAGTGCAGATGAGGTGTTATTTTCCCGTTTGGTCGACACAGATATCGTGTTCTACAACTCGAATGACTTTCAGGTCATCAATCGAGTTAAGTCATACAAAGTTATGTCGTACACGATATCACCCAATGTGGAAAACTACTTCGTAGTGCTTCACACCCAGGATGGAAAGGGACAACCTGCCATTGGAAGGTAATTGCCAAACTGTGCATACACCCATTTGATAGGATGTTTCAGATTGTTCAAATATCCGATGTTTGAACACCAACAGAGTATAGCCAATAAAAGTTTTTTCCAATCGGATAAAGTCGAATTTTACTGGAGTGCGAAGGCTACTCACGTTTTGCTATTGACTATGACGGAAGTCGATAAGACATCCTATTATGGCAAGCAAGGGCTACATTTTATCAGCACAAGTGGTGATACTGCCATGGTGACAATGAGTAAGTTCGACTGCTCACTGTATATGAATCAATATTTGATTCCATTTCATTACATTCTACACTGCCTTCTAATCAGAATTTTCTGAGAAATTCGGTATAATAAGAATAATAGTGGTCCCTAAACTAATCCTTGTGCAATATGCATGCAGTGCTAGTAGCTATGACCAAAGGTCGCTTGTGGCATGTATCAAAAACTGGCTCCGTATTTATGCAGTGTCAAGTACACATAGGTACCCTGTAGTTTAAACAATATTTTTCTATTTGTATTTTAATAATTAACCATGGAACAAAGTATTATCATTCCGTGCTGAAATTGTGAAAGGTACCTATGTGTAAGTAAAATATAATTGCCAACTTATGAAAACACGGGTACTATGGATAATTTCTAAAGGATTTCAGAAAAATTAGGAGCATTTCAAGATTCTTCTGTAAGAGTTCAAATAAATTTTGAGATAATTAAAGTAAATATTATTATGAGCTTGCTTAGATTAATTTCTGAAATTTTTATTATTTAAAAGATTCAGGGATATTTTATGATTAGAAGGCACTATCCCACAGATCTCCTAATTATATGTAGGAAGAATTCTGCGATATTGTAGGAATAGCTTGTGATTGTTCCAAAACATTGCAGTTATTAGATTAGTTCCAAGTGACATACACAAACAAATCTACAGAGGTGCCTCATGGGACTGTCCTTGGGCCACTTTTTTTTATGACATCAGACGTGCTTTTTTTTCATTTATAAGAAAAAGAATTTATAAGAATTATGGAGCTACTCCTAGTCCGATAGAGAGGATAGCGCCTCAAGAGCCTTTTCTCGGACCAAATTGTGCTTAGTTCCTCTTAATGATTTGTACAGTCATATGATTGTTGTTAAATCCTAAAAACTTTAAATACCATAAAAACGATGAAACGTTTTTAATATTCATAAAAATCTTAAACATTCGAACTTCCTATCGCCTCTGAGAAATTCCGTTTTTCCCGTATACCGTTATTGTGGGAATTGCGAGAAGTGCTTTCGGAGTACACCCCGACGCCTTGAAAGAAACTTTTTGACTGTAAAATATAAAATCTTGTTGTCCCCGTTCCCGTGGGAATTTCGTCAAGGTTTTCACTAATTGAGAAACTTGGGCCAATATTCGAAACGTGGACGAATGCAAGGGTGTAAAGGTACCATTCCATTCATTCATATCACCTGATAAATTGATACTCTCAATTAACTCGGTCATGCTAGTTTAAATAACATTAAAATTGTTTTAGATAAGGAAGGTCCAATTTACAACGTCGCTTGGTCGCCGAGGGACACCGAATTTTGTGTCGTATACGGTTTTATGCCGTCTCGTTGCACAATCTTCAACTTAAAATGCGAAATGATCCATCAGTTTAGTGCAGCTCCACGGAATAGCATCTACTATAATCCGCAAGGTAACATCCTATTAACTGCCGGTTTTGGAAATCTGCGCGGCCATATCGAATTGTGGGATATCGCTTCCAAAAAACTGATAGGTAGCTGCGAAGCGGCGGACTCCACGTTGTTGCAGTGGTCGCCCGATGGTACCCACTTTTTAACTGCGACCACGGCTCCGAGATTACGTATTGGCAACGGGTATAAAGTTTGGCATTACTCTGGCGCCTTAATTCACGAACATCCTTACAAGGAAAACGATGAGCTTTACGACGTTGCTTGGCAGGTAAGCGAGCTCATTCCATTAGGGATACAAATGCAATAAGTCATGACGTTTTTGAATTTTCTTTTTTTTTGCGACGAAAACGTAATAAAAAAGTTTTTATTTATAGCAGATGTTAAATTGACATTTGAATAGATATGAATGAGTAGACTAACCTTGAGGGTAGATAAAATGATCACTTCTGTCATTCTTATTTGAAATGGGACGCGGAGCACGATTTAAAATGGCGTTTAGAACATATGGCAATGCTGTTGCGACTGCGACGGCAGAACCTAAGCTCGCTATTTTTGACGTCTAAATTAAATTCAGAATTGTCAGGGCTTCTGCTATAAATTGTATTATACACGACGATAAAGAGAAACTAAGCATCTCATGGAAGTTAATTCACTCGTGGTGGCGCCACTCATGAATTAACATCTTTCACTTAGTGGTTAAAATATTCCTATATCGTCTTAGTTGGTTTTTCAAGGGTCATATTCCATTTTCTACTACTTTTTCCTGTGCGCCATTGGTAGATTGTGAAACATGAATTAAATTTTCTGATCTGTTAGGATACTTTTTGATCTCTTATTTTTTTATATTTGCGATGGTTATATCTAGAAAAAAATAAAAATCAATTTTCTTTAGTATGAAAGTATAATTTTTAAAATGGTCTAGTAGGCCCTGGATTTATTTGGATAAAATCTTGTTTTTATTTTGACAGTTGGGATTTGGAATTGCATCTTGTGTTTGCATATGTTTAGGTTTAAATTGTAAAGTGTATGGTAGAACTATTATTTATTATTAAAATTGCTATTGCCACTTGTTGTTCAAAAACAAAAAGCAGGTAATATATGACCGACAACGCGACCTCTGCAATAATATGATTAGACTAAATTTTATCTAGAGAATTTCAATTCCTCCCCTAAGAATTAAAATTTTTTCCTTTAAATGATTTCAATTACACTCAAAAGGTGTCTCTTGTGTTAACCAAAAATACTTTGTTCCCTTTTGAATTTAATAATAATTTTAGTTTGAGGTAGTTTTGATTCAGATTGTTATTTTGCAGAAAGCACCAAAGGATGCCTTCAAAGAACCAGCAGTTAACTTCCAAAAGGTCGAGGGGATTGTATCAAATCAGCCGCAAGCTTCAAAGGAGGCATACCGTCCACCATCTGCACGCAATCGTCCGCCAATCACTTTTAAACTGCACGACGACGATAGTGACGGTCAGCTACCACCGGCAGCCCCATCGAAGGCGGCGCTAAAGCAGAAGAAGAAACGCGAGAATAAGAAGGCCCGCAAGCAGCAGGAAGAGCCAAACTCCAATCCTCCCATTACGAGCACTGTTTCTGTGATACTAACCGAAGATGAAGAGAAAAATAAAAAAATTAAAAACATCAAAAGGGTAAACGTAGTCAATTTATTTTACTAACACCTTAACAATTTACATGCAGAAATTGGATGCGATCGGCAAACTTAAAGATCAGCAATCTCAGGGGAAAGTATTAGAAGTGAATCAGCTGGCAAAAATCAAAAGTGAAGATGAGCTCATGGTCGAGTTAAAGAAGTTACAGCTGTAATAAATTTTCTAATTCTGTTAATGTTTGATAAAACAAATAAATTGAGTTTAAAGGTCAATCATCGGACGGTTTTAAAAACTTATTCTTCTTCCTATTTCTTTTGGTTTCGAACTTTTTTCCCATCGTGTTCACAGTAGACGAATATGCATTGGCCATTTCTACATCGGATATTTCGGTCTCTCGTACTTTGTCCGTTTTGATTAGTTTCTGATGGTAGTCGTTCATTAACTTCTCAATTTCCGGATTCATTCCGTTGAAAGATAGTCGACCTTCGATAAGGTCTTTGCAGGTGAAGATTCCTACCTCTGTGAAGTTTATGTTTCCACTTTTTCGCATTGCTTCCGTAATTTCGTTGGCATACATAGCTTCCCCTTCTGCGTCGTCTTTTTCCTTCTCGACTCTTTCTTTGGTCTTTTTCATGAATTTCATCTCCAAAACGGCTCTGGAGAGCTTTGCATTCTTTTTCTGCTCCATTTTCTGTAGCAATTTGTAATTGTAGTATTGAGGTTATGCAACGGATTTTCTGAGGTTATGTAAACCCCCACCTACATCTGCTAATTTCATGTTTGTTTTGACTTCATTTTCAGCTGATTACTCATCGTTTACTGATTGTTTTTGGAAAATTGTGCAATGGGGGCCGTTTTAGGACTTTGTTCAGCCGCGCAGGTATTTTCAATGCAACTAACTCAATTTTGCTCATTCGAAATTTCTAGCTCGCTTGCTGCTGCGGAAGTGCCGCCTGTTCTCTTTGTTGTTCAGTTTGTCCATCATGTCGAAATTCGACATCCTCACGTCTTATGTACGCCGTACTGCTACTAGTTACAACGATTGTAGCTTGCATTACACTGTCTCCAGGATTGCAGGATTTCTTACGCAAGGTAAACCTTTCGAAAGTGTATTTTGCACGAGTGGATTTTATTGTAGGTACCTTTTTGTAATAACTCGACTCGCTACATTCCAAATTCAGTCCACATCAATTGCGAGGAAGCTGTCGGGTATATTGCCGTTTACAGAATATGCTTCATAGTTACTTGCTTCTTTGCTCTGATGGCATTAATTATGATAGGGGTTAAATCGTCGAAGGACGCTCGTGCTGGGATACAAAATGGGTATTATTTTTTTAAAGTGTTACATAAAACCACTTCATGCATCATTTCTGTTAAAGATCTTGGAGTAGTAATTTATGTAACTACTAGACTATTATGCGAGGTGTTATGCCCGAAAGGATCTATTCTCATGGTTATTACTTACTAGAACATTGTTGAAATTATAACAAAAGATGCTGGTATCTCATGTTTGTATACTTGAAGGGTAAACCTTCTGCTCCAAAATTTCGTGCACATTTCTAAAATTCGCCCTCGAAAATCTTGCGACTGATTACTTCAAGGGAATTGCAGTAACTTGAAATCAGACTAATGTACATAATCTTACGTTCCCTTTTTTTTTTGTAACATTTTACATATCTTGTACATATAACAATTTAAACAAGTTTGCTTTTTAGCAAAGGACTCTCATTTCATTGGTATTAAAAACCGGTACTTTTACATCAACAACAAACTGCTCTACCACTATGACCTGTTCCCCTTCAGCTGTCAGCAGGGTGGCTTCAACCACTATCATATTCTACATCAACATTCATTTTCACTTCCTGTGATTTACCCTTCTCCATTTTCTTTTCAACAACGGGACTGACCACTTTCTGGTCCACCCCCCTGAAATGCTAAGTATTTCCTGTCTGATCTCAATCCCATGTTTTTCCATCTCCGCAAGTATCTCTGTTCTTGTCACCTTTAATTCCACATTCTGTGAATCCATTTTCGTATTCAGTTCATTTTTGCATTGTGTAAGTACATTTCTTTTCAAATTCTTATTCATTGCCTCCATTTTTTCAATCAAATTTGCCTTGAATTCTTTTATCGCCTCCAAAAATTGCGCGAAATGCCCTTGCGGTAGGGTCGTCAATCCCATTGTAGATGACCCACCTCAAGGGCGCCAAATCAAAATGCTGCATGTCCCACGTTGGGCGCCAAAAATTAATGTTATGTGCCCCATGTTGGGCGCCAAAAATTAACCGTCGTTTAAACTATGTAACAACAATAAATAACTTCTTATGTGTTTTTTCTTCGGTTTTTTCTTTTAAAAAGAAAAGAGACTGGCGGTGGATACTGTTACGAATCGTTTATTATGGCAATGTTGCCAAGGTTTTAATTTAAATAAAACATGCTACGCAATTAGCCTTTAAGGAACTTAAAGGATTTTACAGAAAGATTCTTCATTGGAAACATACTCAAATCAGTAAAAAACAGGAGTGGTTTTGTGTAACAAACTTTAATGACACTTATTGCATATAACGCTTTTAGCTTTTGGGGATTAAAATATCTGCTAATTATTGGCGGAATAATTGGCGCCTTTTTCATTCCCGAAGCATCTTTTGGTTCGGTATGGATGTACTTCGGATTGATCGGCGGCTTTCTCTTCATACTGATACAACTAATTTTGATTGTTGACTTCGCTCACTCGTGGGCCGACGCGTGGGTGGGCAATTACGAGGAGACCGAATCGAGAGGCTGGTACATTGCACTTTTGGGCGTTACGTTTCTCAATTACGCCCTCGCACTTACCGGTGTGGTGCTGCTCTACGTCTTTTTCACTAAGGTAAAACGCGCTCGAGTTACCGTTGCGCGCTAACTTTTGTTTTGCAGGCCAATGATTGTAGCTTGAATAAATTCTTCATTTCAATTAACCTAATTTTGGCAATCGGTATAAGTATCGTATCTGTTTTGCCTAAAGTGCAGGAAAAGCTGCCACGTTCTGGACTGTTGCAATCGTCAATTGTTTCTTTGTACACCATCTACCTGACGTGGTCCACGGTCTCCAATTCACCAGGTTTTTATTAAACGTAGTGGAATGAAATACTGTAATGATTTTTTTAGACTCTGATTGTAATCCTGGACTGTTGGGAATAGTGGGCGCGAACTCTACAGCTAAGTCTACACAATTGGGATTTGATGGACAGAGCATTATCGGTCTTGTGGTGTGGATGGGTTGTATTTTATATTCGTCTCTACGTACAGCAAGCAGCTCATCTAAAATTACTATGTCTGATCAAATTTTGGCTAAGGACACTGGAGCAGGTGAGTGACTTATGCAAGTTTGCTTTTATTAGTCTTGTATATAGTACCTATTTTATTTTCCTATCCATAGCATTATGTAGTTAGTGTTTGTTCTATTTCATTGTCGACATTAAAACTAATAACTTTTTTCTCACTACAGTGAAGAGCAATGCTGACGCCTCTCTTGTAACACACGAAGGTATGGCTCTTAAGTGCAATTTTTACAGATTTTCAACATAATGCTTGGATATATTTTCTGCACTTTTTTTTAACTTTATTTTTTATTTTATTTATATGAAAAGAACCTTATACACCTATCGCAGGTAAAGATGGAGGCAATGACGGTGGAGAATCTGGTGATAAAAAGGTATGGGACAATGAGGAGGAGACTGTAGCTTATAACTGGAGTTTCTTCCACGTTATGTTTGGTTTGGCCACTCTGTATGTGATGATGACATTAACCAATTGGTATCAGTATGTGTCTTACACTTTACTAACCCGGAATATTTACGATTTTGTTTTAGACCAAATTCTGATCTAACTACTTTGAATGCTAATGCGCCCTCTATGTGGTTTAAAGCAATTTCGAGCTGGCTGTGTATTGCATTGTATGGTTGGACTCTTGTTGCTCCTATTATTCTTCGCAATCGTGAATTTAATTAAATATGTTACCTGCACTGTTATGTATTATATAATATTTGTGTGCTTTTGATATTATATGTAAATTACTGTCGTGAACAAATATTGCATACAATTTTCTGGTAGGTTGCTATGTTTGATCTAATAGTAGTGGATTAGAGTTGGCTCGTGCATAGTATGTTAATGTTTATACTATATTAGAGTAAGTAGAGGACGCGTTTCATTATAATCGTTTAATCTTTTCATATTAGAATAAAATGTATTGGGAATTTTGTGCTCGTTTATTCATTAATGAGTTAACTAATTGCTGGTTACACTAAAAACTCCATCCATTAACTTTAGACAGGTGAAGGGTTCGTATAATAATCCAAAGGGTATTATTATTATTCTAAGATGAAGTGTGGTTTTATTCTGACATGCCCATGTCTGTGAAGTTGGCCTGGATAAAATAGCCCGGCAGCATCGCATCATGCTAGATCGTTAGTGCTTTGTTAGTGCTAGTTAGTGCCTCATAAGTTAACATAAGGGCTCAAACCGTTTTCTCAAAATAAAATTTTTTTTTGTTCGGGTCAACTTCACGTTTGCCCGGACAATGGCTCCAATTTGCATCAAATTTTGTAGATCGTTAGTGCTTTGTTAGTGCTTATTAGTGCTTCATTATTCAACGTTAGGACTCAAACCGTTTTCTCAGAATACTTTTTTATTTGTTTGAGCTAACTTCACGCTTTCCCGGACAATTACTCCAATTTGCATCAAATTTTGTAAATTGTTAGTGCTTGGTCAGTGCCTGTTAGTGCTTCATAATTCAACGTTAGGAGCCAAACCGTTTTTTAAATATAAATGTTTTTTGTTTGGGCCCACTTCACTTTTGCTCGAGCGCTACCTTTCCAATAAATAAAATTGTACCTATACATAATATATCGTAGGATTAAATAAATTAAGACATTAAAAATTGCCATTCGTATCCAAATACTAGAAAGACAAAGATGAAAATATGCAAAACTAAAATAGTTAATGTGAAGAGCAAAATATAGGTAATAATTTCAGGAATTAGTGAAATGAATCGGTGAATATGCCCCAAATATAGAAATCTACAAAACAAGTTTACCTAACATAAATAGATAATGTGTACCTACTTAATTACATTTCGATATAAAACAACAGAAGCAAATACTAATATAATTAGAATTGAAACAATCTAAGAGTCTATCTCCATTAATGAAAAGTGTTGTGACTTGTGGCAGTGGTCAAAGCGGCTAAAAAAAGCAGGGGTACGCCTGATCAGTGCACGCGGACATTAGGACGCAGACATTGGGACGCGGACATTAGGACGCAGCCATTAGGACGCAGGCTTTGCGACGCAGACATTGGGACGCAGACACTGATGGGGCGCGGACATTAGGGCACAGATCCTAGGCTAGGACTCTAGACGTTGTAGAGCATACACAGATGAAATAAGTACAATAACATTGGTTTAATTTAGTTATACCTTATATTGTCCTACCTTCGACCTAATCTCTGCTTTGTATGGTGATCTACATTACATGATGCTTGCGTTTTAATGTCCGCGTCTCAATGTCCGCGTCCAAATGTCCGCGTCCCAATGTCTGCGTCCTAATATTCGCGGCCTATCGTCTGCGGTCTACTGTCTTTCGGTCCAATGTCCACGTCCTAATGTCTCGCAGTCCAATGCCATGCCGGAATTTCGTTTCAAAGGCAAAAATTTGTTTGATACATTTTAGAGCAAACCGTCTTTTTCATAATTTTTACGTTTTGCGTTTTTATTCAGTACTTGCCTTTACACATGATATGTAGCAAAATATGTTGTTAATAGTTCTCATCATTTGAAATTGCTTAATGGAATTTTATCGGAGCACGGAGTGTACCGCGTCGTTCTAAAGGCTTTTTATTGGCCAATTTGAATTATTTTCAACGTATTATAGTGTACATATATTTTGCGGTGACATTAAACCAAACATTAAACTCCAAATATATAATTCTCAACTATTACATTTAGCAAAATAATTAATTCTACTACTGTTTTAATAAATTTTATTTACATTCGTCTTCGTGCTATAAAAGGAATAATTTTTATCACCCAACAATGCTGTTAGTATGTTACGACACTGACAGGCATGCTTTGGTGACAAATGGTCACAGTTTTATTGAAAGTATTACCTGTCCTCTCTCTTTCCTAGTCTAAGGCTATAGACATATTCAAGCTACACTACAGCACTTGATTAAGAAAGCAGACTCGTCCGCCATTTTGGAGCACATTTGACAGTCTGTCAGATATAACGCTGTGTTGTTTGATCGTTATGTTGTGTTATGTTGCCAAGGTAACTTACTATCATGAGAAGCACGTGTTTTGCAAGCGTCAATTGTCAGTGGGCTTCAAAATGGCGGACGAGTCAGCTGTGGTATATATAGTAGCTAGACTACACCGTCCGGACCGTCAAAATTTGTAAACGCGAATATTTTACGTTTCGTTGACGGTGCGATAACGGAACGGTGACGGTACGTATAGATGAATCGCGCTGCATGTCAATGTGAAAAGAGCTACGTCAAAAATGAAGCTTGTCCCCAACACAAAAATGTATTTTAAGAAAACGGTTTGGGTTCTAGCGAGGGTTCTAGCGTTGAATTCTAAAGCACTAACGATTTATAAAATTTGATGCAAATTGGAGTCATTGTCCGGGAAAACGTGAAGTTATCCTGAACAAATAAAAAAGGTATTCTTGAGAAACCGGTTTGAGTCCTAACGTTGAATTATGAAGCACTAATAAGCACTAACAAAGCACTAACGATCTACAAAATTTGATGCAAATTGGAGTCATTGTCCGGGCAAACGTGAAGTTGATCCGAACAAAAAAAATTTTTATTTTGAGAAAACGGTTTGAGCCCTTATGTTAACTTATGAGGCACTAACGAGCACTAACGATCTAGCATGGTGCGATGCTGCCGGGCTATTTTATCCAGGCCAACTTCACAGACATGACATGCCCAATATTTTGCTCTAAGGTTCTGCACATAAATTGATTAAATTTTAATCTGTAGATGGCGAGTAACAGAGTTGATAGAGATTGAATTCACATTTTATCATAAACCTCTATTTGGGGTTCTATATTAAATGGACAAATTGAGATCAATGATTTCATCTTCATTCTAAGTTCTGATATTTCAATTGGCTGTTTCTCACTGGGAGCTTCAGGTAGAGTACCAATTGAATCAACTGCAGCGATGCAAGAGCCAGTGTGCATTGCAAGTAGTTTTACACTTACGGTTTACTTTACATGTACCTACAGTAGATACATCTGTTAGAATTTGTTTCCACTTTGACCAGAACTACCGTCCATCTTAAAATTTGTACTAGTAAACATTTATTAATGATGAATTTGGTCTGTCTTCTCTCACTGTCCACTATGACCCTTTTTCAAGATTCAAAATTCATTTTTCCTATGGATATGAATATCCAACTGGAGCGTAGTTCTTTGAATATTTTCTTCTTTCAAACAGCGTTTAGTATATATGTACTGGCAATCTGTATTGCAACAGTAAAACTCAGGCAGGCTATTCGTTGCAGCCTGTTTACTTGAGTCTGGGTTACTTTTGCTTCTGCTTTGAAGTATCATACCACCGCAAGGTAGGACAAGATAGGCCTAATTACAGTGGTGTATAGCCTGAAGGCGGGAATTTAGTCCCGAGCAAGGCACCATATATTCCTGCACTGTAGCAAGGGTATACTGCATTAGGTCACAAACAGTGACTTCATGGTTGTCCTTCCAACAGTTTCCAACTTTTGTTTTTTTTTTGTGCCGTACATCGTTGTATTAGTAATAAAAAATGCTACCCAATTCAGTACTTTTTTAGGGGCCATATGAAAAAATAAAATTGAAGATGATTTTTCTGAAACGAATCGTTGAAAACCTCAACGTCTTGTAGAGCTCATAAAGTGGTAGTGAGAATGTGTCTTTCTATTTTTTTGTATCTGCTCAAATAACATCGGAAAGAAATAAAAACAAAATCGGGAAATTTCGGTTTTTCTGGAATATCTTCGAAAGTAATCATAACTTTCTGCGCAATCTCAACTTTCTTATTTATGCGATATTTTTCTGAAATTTTAACCACAGGATGCTTCTAGTAAAGACAAGCTTATCGCGTATTGTAAAAATCAGACTTGAGCACTACGCAATGTCAACTTTCTTATTTATAGAGATACTTTTTTTTGAAATATAAACCAAAGATTCTTGTAGTAAAGGCAAACATGTCGCATATATTAAACATAGGGTGTGTGCATGCGCAGACTGCCCAATGTTAAGTAAAGTAAGTTGCAAATCTTTGTATGTCATTTATTTTCCACAAAAATAAAAAAATAATTAGCACATACAGTAGAGTGGGTAGATGTTACAGGATAAGTACTGATTGGATTTTTTTTATTGCCCCTCTTCAACAAAAGGCCCACTAGCATCGACTATTTCCTTCTCTAAATCTAAAGATTTATTAAATTCGCACCAATTGATTAGAGTGCCAGCCTTAACATCTCTATCTGATGTCCAGTAAAGTTCATACTAAAACGAGGGTATATCAAAATATTGTATGATGGTGTAGCTTATACCTTAATATTGATGGGAATAGTATCAGCCATTGCACATAGATCACGATTTAAGAATTTTAGCAGGTCATCGTAGATTAAATTTCCATGTTGGTCTTTGACTATGCTACAATGTTATAATTAAAATGTGTGTGATTGCATCCAACTTACACGTCTAAAATTCGATTGAGCAAAGTTATATCAACAGGCAACCTGCAAGCTCGTAATAGCTTGTAAACTTCCTGTCGGGGCAGTGTTCCCTTTTTTTGGTGATCGAACTTAATCAAGTATTCCCTCAACCGTTTCAAGTCGTCCCAGAGAAAACGTTTCAACTCGGTCAACGTGATTGCGCTACCAAGAGAAGAAAATCACTGTCATTTTCTGACCAGGGACCTACCGTATTGCGTCTCGATTAAATTTTTCTTCTACGCAGTTTGCAGAGAATGCACGCGATACTGTTATCATCTCCTGTTCTGTAAAATCGCTTCCCATAAGTCGACAGAGTTTGTTTCTAAAATTTTGAATTGAGTGCGCACGCGTCACGAAGGCACTATTTTACCTCAGCTTTTCGTAGGTTATCACCGGTGTTTCGGTAGGTATATTTTCGGCTACGAAATCCTTGTACGTTGGTCGAACAACTTTGCGTATCTTATCCATTATTAGTTTAATATTAGATTTTGGGAACTGAAAGTTTATAGTAAAAGTAAAACATTTGTTGTCATTCTGATACATTCTTGACAAAAGAACCGTTTTCTTTTCACATGAACTGACTTGTTATTTGAAAAGAAAACGCTAATAATATCGTTGGCTGATGATGACAGTATTTCTGTCGAAACGTCTTTTTAATAATATTTTATTTCTTGTATTTTATTACCTCGTGACAATTCAGTTCCATATATCGCAAGGCATAGTCATCTGCGTCTACTAACACAAATTTGAAACTGTTAATTACTAACGTCGCACCAACAAAAATGTGCTGAGTGCGGTAACATTCGGGCGGTTTACTTGTAAACACAGCTTGACCCGGCAATTTAATTTCTCCTCGTTTAAAAAATGGGCTAGTTTTAAAGCCCGAGTTGGCCCTAGCCAATTCGAAAACCGCAATGGTATCGTTGGACAAGAAATAGCTAATTACAAAAATTCGTCCGCAATTTTCGTCAATTGAAGATATCAATCTTCCCTCAAATCGTAGGACGTGGCTGTCCAATCCGTTTCTATAAAAATAACACGATTATGATGATGATTCTTGCTTTAAAAAAATTACTTATCGAATTTGAGAAACTTTTTAAAATCTCCATGGGGTGCCTTCGGCTCTACTGTGATGCAATTTTGAGCCGAGTCTTCAAAACTTCCATAACCATTCCATGGGGGTAGCTCGCGTTCCTGCGGTGTCGGTATTCCCATTTGCGAATCTAAAGGTTTCGGTATCGGCACGAAACTATCCAGCCCATATTTGGCCCGGTAATACTCTTTGGTGTAAGAATCACAGTCGGTAAGCACCACTTTTCTACCGTAAACGTTTATCATTCCACCTATAGTCAAGTCTTGCTCCAAGTAGTAGTCTCGGTGTTCCTTGCCACAGTCCAAACTGTCCACCACGTATCGGCTTGATTTTATATCATTGCCTAACACATTCAGCAAGGTTAAATGACAGTGATCACCAGGTCTAGGTAACCCAGTGTACTTCTTGACAAGTTTATCTCTTCGGAAAAAGACAGAACTAGACTTATGCCCCCCGTTATCTACAACCACCTCTTTGATATCAATTGTGTCATCCGACAGATAGTAGAGCACTTCCAAATGATGAAGATACCCATACTGAGTTTCTTGATCGTCCCAATATCCATAGAATCGTAACACCTACAATAGCCAATGCAAAAAGGCGCACAAATCATATACCACCTACTTTACGATCGTTCTCCAAGAATTTTCCTAGCGTGTCTATCTTTCTGCTCGGTTTCTTTGGCAGTCGCGTTTCGATGTCATACGCGCGACTTTTATAATAGGGATCCTCTGGAACATTTATCGGATCGGGAACGGCGATGCCGCAACGGTTTAGAAAGTTTCTAGTGAACTTGTCACAGTCCGTAATTTTGTAAACTCGCCCGTAGAATTCAACTTCATTTCCGACGTTCAAATCCATAACGTCGTAAAAATTCGCATTCATCGGAGCCGGAAAGCGCACCCTCGCGCGCGCCAGTAAAGTACCTTGAGATATGCCGCTGTTATCAATCTTCGGCTCCATCACTTGTATGGTGCCGTCTTCCAAAAAGAAGTAAATGACCACCTTGCGTATTTGAAATGGGGCGCACCTGTGCTCTTGTAATGTTTCTCGAAAAAATGCGTAAAAGCGCAATATCTGCAAATTTACCTACATCACCCCAATCTAATTTGATTATAAGCGTACCTGTTTATCGAACCCAATCCACGAGGGTATTTCGGGTACCTCGCCACGTGGATACAGCGAAGGGTATCGGTCAGTTAGATTACCTAACATGTTCGGCTTTACCCTTTCACATAGTGCGCCCACCCCCTTTTCTATGAAGTCGAATTTTGGGTCTATATTAAATTTCGTTTTTCCAATCTGAAAATTAATCCGCAGACAGAAAAATTCTAAATAGTAGATTTACTTACTAGTGGATTAAACGTAAATCCTGGAAGAAACGGGAGACCAGGACAACGAGCCATTTTAATTAATAAAGAATAATTTGGCGAAAAAAACTCGTCTATTTGAGAGTAAATTTCTAGTGACTTTTAAATATGAATCATCTTAGTTTGTTGCCATGGTTATTGTTGGTAGGAGGACGTAATCGATGATTTTTTTTGTTTCCATGACTACTTACAATTGTTCCAGCTTCGTGTAATCCTAATTGAATTTGAGTTGTTGATTTTTGAATGTTTAAAGTCTAGGTATTACCATTGATTATACAATGAATGCTATTACATATGTATATGTGAACCAAATCAAGGCAAAATCTGCTCAAAATTTGATACTTTGAGGTTACACCAATGCTGCATTCGATTTCTTCAATTTTTAGGAGAATTTTTCGAAACAAAATCTCCTAATGTGATGGTTTTGTCGGTCTGTCGGTCTGTTTCTTGGCTAACTCGAGAACGAAAAGAAACAGCGATGGAGTTCAAGGGCAGTGCTATTGAATATGAGCCGGATCAAAAGTCCGGTTTCCGAATGCGAGCTGAGTAGCAAGAAATCCTCCTATTGAAAATCGTATGCGATTCTTCGTATCTTGCTTTATTGCGACAGCGTATGTAGACGATGCGTATCAAAAACTGATATTAGTATAGGTTGTCTATCTATAAGAGGGTGATGTGAAATAACAAATGAGTCTTAATTAATTTAAATTGTGATTGCTGAGTGATGCCGATTTTTTTTCCAAATTTTAAAGATTAGATTCATTGATACTAAAGTTTCTTTAGCTTAGAAAATGTCAATGTTCTCCAAGTGCCGCACATATTGCATGGGTACCTTGGTATAACTTGCATCTGAAGGCTTCTGAAAGCCTAGAGGGGGAAGGGTGAAATTTATCACTTTAGGAGAATGAAATGTGCCTGATCGCTGTGTATGTATGTTCCTCCATATCTTAAGCACCGTTGGAAATTTTGAAAATCTCTTTTGATACTTTATTGTAGCTAACGTTCCGAAAATTTCCATAGACATTGAGGCGCCACGAAAGATTAATCATCGGCGATAAAGTACGAGAGCGAATGTGACTTTCCGAGAAATATGACCTATTTTATTATCGAATGTTCGTACACGTTTGGGAACCTTCGACTTTATTATATAAGCAAATCGGATTGCGTTATAGTTCAGTTGCAATTAGAACGCCGAGGTAGTAAATTGTTCGCGCTCTTGTAAATTGTGTATTCGTGTGTGATAAATGATACTTTTTCTGTTTTAGATTAATGGATATTTCAAGACTGTCATAAATTTATTGTTGATTAGTTGTTATAAATAAACGACGTAATTAAATTTACTTACGTTACAGTATTATCGGTAAATCCGGAATGATCCGTTTAATTCACGAGGTTCTTCGGACTAACCTGCACGATGTAACGGTAGCCCTAAATGTGGTTTTAGTTTTTTGAATGTTATAGAGGGTGAAGTGATTTTCCAATAACTGGTGGAATTGTAAAAGTTTACTTATCTCCTATTGTGGGATTTGTAAAATTTGCAGAAAATTCAGCGAGTGATAGTATACATATACACATCAGGGGGGTTACTCACCTCTGATTGGCTTTTAACAACAAATGGTTTACTTATTTACTCAGCCATCTTGAAATGGCGAATCAGGTTATTCCGGGAGATTTTGATTTTATTTTCGCGTTTGAAACACTGATGCGACCAGTGCGTGGTGCATAGTAAGATGTTCGAAGATTCGAATCTCCAGTGACAGAAAGGATGACCTATTGGCACTTGGTCACTGTAAAATTATCTCTAGGTTGGTTTCCGAATATCACCATGCACTAGAGCAAGTAGCAAGCAGCAACCCTCTTGAGCTCGTTTGGGTTAAAGGACATGCTAGAGCGTAAGGCAATGAGAAAACCGATGAGTTAGCCCGACTGGCCTCAAAACAGGTGTTTTATGGTCGAGAGCCTCCCACTTACAGTCGCAACTGTAAATAACTTAGTAACTCAAGACACCCAAACGCCATGCATCTCGAAGCTTGGTGTGTTTTTGCACAGGGCTATTAAAGAACCTGAGAGGTTTGTGAATGTCCCGCTCTAGTCCAACTGAGACGATTCATGCGTTGTGTGTCTCCTGTCCGGACTAGGCTACGTGTACCCTTAGCTTCATCTCACGTGTGGAATGACTTGAGTGATGTTGAGGGGTCGGACGACTCTAGTCAGGGAGTTAGTACCTACAAAGTGCCCCAATGGGAGGTCTACGAGCGCGTAGACTTAGTCCATCCTCCTATCGTAATCCAGATCCTGACAACATATACCACTCACACAAGGACACTGTTGTTCAAGTGGAAGAAGTCTCCAAAAATCAATACTCAATTAAGTCAATAAAACGCTCGCATGTTGGTGGTTGGCTTTATATTAGTCTGTATGCGGCTTTAACTACTATATTTAAACCTTCAGGCAACTAAACATACACATGTGCTTGTACGTTGTAAGTAAATTGTTACTGAATCAGCTGTGATCTCACGTTCTGTTTGTTTCTTTACTTACCGCTCTACGTGAATGTATTTTTGATGTGCATACCTACTGATATCATTATGTGTGATTAAATTTGCGTAATTGTTGATATTTTGCTAGCTGCGTAGTAACGTGGTTAAAAAAAGGGCGAGGTTTCTTCCTTTTTTGTAATTTGCATAATTTAAAAATGAGTGACCCCCCTGATCAAGCAGTTGATCATGGAAAAGATCGGCTGTCGAAGAGAAAAATTGCGGGTATCAAAATTAAGAGTGTACTGTACTCGGTGGTTAAGAGGGTAAGTTTTTGTATTCCCGTATTTCACGGGCTGACTGACTGCTTTGTAGGTGGCGAGTGTCCTGTTTGTGTATGCCGTAGGCTACATGCAGTGGTCCTTTGGATGGTTTTTCGGACCGATTGTTCTTCTGGTAATTAGGGATCAGTATCGAAAATCAAAGGATCAGAAGAGTAAAATTACCAAATCTATAGCTCTAGCTCAGGAAGATGATGTGATCTTGGCACGAATTGAGGATCTACCTGCTTGGGTAACCCAGTATTTAAAAAAAATTATTCCATTCCTATGTTTTCCAGGTTTACTTCCCTGATGTTGAACGAGCTGAGTGGCTGAATAAGGTAAGCTGAAACTGGTAACTGAGTAAAAATTGTAATGATAAATTTTACCACCAAATCTGAATAGTCTTGTGCAACTTTGTCATGTGGTCAAGGGCACAGTTACAGGGACTATAAGTACCTAAAGCACAATTTTGCTGTCCGACCTGTATTTCTGTGTACAAGTTATTGTTTAATTGATATTTACAGTTGTGATGTAATTGTTTACAATTACTTCTCAAATTTCATAATTTGCAAAAAAATTTACATGGCATGAATACGGTACAAGGGTCCACAGGAATAGGTACAACTGATGATGATTTTATATTTGTATTTTTCTCAATTAACTTGATCGAGTCAGAAAATAGTGTATTTATTTAGTATCACTGTCTCCAGGTAAAATAATAAACAGGACACACAAGGATACCTAACATTTAATTGGAACACATGTTCTAGTTCTACATCTATGCACCAGAGTGCTACTACAGAATCAGATATTACCTATTGATAACCTTGCTAAAACCAAAATTGAAAATAATGTGCTTTAATGTATCTATTTATAAGGGGAGCCTGACCAGGCAACACTTAGGCATACCAAAGGCCCATTGAGCCTACCCCCTTTCTTTCACAACTAGGTTCAGAGCCCATGCCTATCAATAAAGGATAGATTCTGTTTACCCTAAGTTGCTTCAACTCCCCCCCCCCTCCCTCCCCCGGTTCCAGATTACTGTCACGGAACCAAGCAGCTGATGTCTATCTCTGATCAAGGCGTCACACTGACAGACCACATGCTCTGTAGTTTCATCTGCATTGCTACAGAACCTGCACGTGGGCAACAAGCCCAATGTACGTGTCCGAGCTGCCCCACCCCACATGGTGTGCGTCTGCATCACAGCCAACCACAAGAAGTGGCCCATCATTTTGACTACTCTTATCAAGTCAGCCAGCTCCCTGGTGGGTGGAGCCTCTTCCGAATCGTATGAGTTTTCTGAAACAGAAATCGGCAATTGGATAAGACTCAATTCGTCTATTGACATAAATACAAGTCTTAGGGTTGAGTTGGCTGACCCTCTGATAATAAAGAGAGTCCTCCACCTGGCTTAGATCTCTTACGCGCCCCCTGTAAACCGAAGGTTGATATGTAGGCCTGTCTGCTTTACTGCAAGTTGACGGCCTATTAAACAGGCCCCTCCCCCATATTGTGCTCTAAATGGGTAAAAAGGTTACCTCGTCCCCCCTTCCCCTAGTGATGTGGGCAGTTTCGATCCCCTTAGTACTAGCGGTATAACGGCAATTCTTGAAAGATACTGCATTTTGTGATACAAAGGGCACAACTGTTCCATAGAACAATTTAGACGATTTGACCCGAAGAACAAGTGACATTTTCCGTGTGGGTAGATTTTAGAGGGGGTGGGGGTAATTAATTGTAAAATTTTTGAAAAAATCTAAATATAACCTAGAGAAGAGATCTGGGTATCAATTTCGAATGATTTTAATCCGAGGAATCCAAGAGTAGCGCCAGAAATGTAATCCAGATACAGGAAGTTGGTCAAAAGTCGCCATTTTTAGAAAATGGCCGACTTTTGGTCGAATTGTATTTCCAAGGCACGCAGGGGCGTGTAAGGTGTACCTACATGTATTAACGTACCTTATGTTTTTGTTTTGTTAATATGTATTTTTATTATATTAAGTATTATTATAAGTTTATATATTAAAACTTTGGAATATATTGGTTTTCACGGCCCGTGACGTCATCAGAAAGTGTGGTAGTGAAGCCTCTCATGCATGTCCGATGCCCTTAGGTTATTTTTGTTACCATAAATGAATTCCCTGACCCCAAAAACATAAATCTAGACACCTTACATGACCGGGTGTGCCTTAGAAACATAATTCGACCAAAAGTATGCTATTTTCTAAAAATTGCGGCTTTTGACTGAATACCTCTATCCGGAATACATTTCTGGCGCTACCAATATGGATTCCTCGGATTAAAATCATGCGAAATTGACACCCAGATTTC